CTGCCGGGACACAGGTCACTCTATCTCATTAACCTCTTGCCAAGCGTATAGCCAATGAGTGGGCACTTCAGCTCAAACTCCAGGGAACATGACCGTCTGTGACGAGCCAGGAATTGGGCTGAAGCTCGAGCTGCTCAAATAATGGAATTCACAGCTAGACATTTGTCCTACGACTGGAGAGATTGGGTGTTTTGATTTTGGGTCGTTTTTCTTCTTTTCCTCCTTAATTTTATCGTGGGCTTTAAAAGAAAGACACAACACATGAAGACACCGTTCCCACCCTGCAGGATTTATACTCTTAGGCATTTCTGCCGCTCTCTGGCAGTGATGCTATGTCACGATACCCAGCCTGGACTGCGTGCCAGTCACTGTTCTAGCTGCTTTGCTCAGAATGACTCACCGAATCTTATAAGACAGTCACAATCAATATCCTCAATTCACCGATGTGAAAACTGAGACCCAGAGAGGTTTAGTAATTTACTCAAGGTCATATATTTAATTCTGCAAACTTAGGAGTCACCCAGGCCAGCTGGCGATGGGCCACAGTCCCTGCCCGGCCTCACTACCCTGAAAGGGACTCGTGAGTCTGGAAGGACGTTTCTTCGTCTGCCCTGGTACACAGTGAACTCTATCCAACAATGACATGAGGGGATCTTGGCAGAGGCCATGTTTCCGGAGGACCTGGCAACCATGAATCACTACAGAGAAGGAACACTTTTATCTTCTGTATCGCTGTCCCCAACCAAGGCAACTCGGGCAGTGGCATCGCACCTTGCAGCAAGGTGGGGCCATCAAGAGCACAACCTTCACATCAGACCGAGGGAAAGTCTCACTCACCATTACCTACTTGTGGGCCTTGGGCCATTAACTTTATTTATCTGAGACTCAGTTTCTGCATCCATAAAATGGAGTTTAGCACGGTTCCTGCTATGTGTAAAGTATTCAATCTCTTGGCCATTATTTTTGTAGTGCACAGAGTTAGAAAGACCAAGGTTCAAATCCAGGCCCTGCTACTCATTTGCTGTGTGACTTTGGGCAAGTTCTTTAGCTTCTCTGCATCCAGTTGCCTCATCTATAAAACGGGAATAACACTCATACTGACCTCGTAGGGTTGCATGAGGATTAAATGAGATTGCCTGTGAGATCTCAGCAGAGGGTCTGGTACATGGGAAGCTCTTGGTAAGGGTAACTCGTTACGTTTTAGGTCCATGGTTCATTCTAACGTGCGAAAGGCTGATAGCAATTTAGAACGTCAGCCCTCCTATTGGTATTTGCAGTTTTGTCCAGCTCGAAGCTCTGCCTCGTGGGGATGAAGAGTTATCTAAGAGAATTGCATACTTTAGAAGGTGGAAGGCACAGAACTTGAGGTGGGAGTCCTGGGTCAGAAACATTTGAGAGAGCTCACACAGTGGGCTGGGCTCCACATTGTATGGATTGCCTCACTCATGCTGTAGCCACCGCGTGAGGTGCAGGCCACCAAGGCTCCCATGCTATAGGTGCAAAACTGTACAGAGAGGTGGGCGGAATCATCCAAGATGTCACGCCTCGTGAGGAGCAGACCCAGGACCTGGTCTTGGCAAATCTAGCCCAGCAGCCACACCCAGCCAGGCGGTTCTCCTTGTTCTGGGGTCAGCGCGGTGGCAACAAGGGGTCAGTGCCACAGGCCCAGGCCTTCTGTGAAAGCTGACCACCTACAAACACATCTGATGGACAACCCTAAAAGGGAACAGCATTTGCTTGTTCTTCATTCAAACATTTGTGACCAGGAATGATGCTTCGTATGGGAAAGTGACCAATCCAGAAAGAAGCTGTAGCACAGAGAGACAACAGGGGGGGTGAAGACGGGGGCGGAGCTGGGTAGATGCTGTCGGGGACCCAGAGTCCCAGACTGACCAGTGGCATCTTCTGTAGCTTCTGGGTTTTTTGTTGTTGTCATTGCTGTGTTATAAATCAAGGTCTCTAGAACAATCACTTCACAGCCTATACTGCAGGGTTAAAACTTGCTGACCAGGTCAGAGGAGGTCCAATGTCTGGAGACTCTCCAGTCCTCAGACCTCCTGGACCCAGTGTCAGAGAAAGCGTCACGCCATCCCAGGCCAACGGTGCCGTCAGCTAAGGCAGCGGTCCCCCACTCTTTTGACACCAGGAACCGGCGCTCCCATGAGAATCTAATGCCTAATGACCTGAGGGGGAGCTGAGGCAGCGATGCTGGCGCTGGGGAGCGGATGCAGATCCAGACAAAGCTTCACTCGCTCCTCCGCTGCTCACCTCCTGCTGTGCGGCCCCGGTCCTAACGGGCCACGGACAGGGACCAGTCCATGGCCCGGGGGGTTGGGGACCCCTGAGTTAAGATGTTTGTGGGGAATGGAGAGAAAGAGATGGTGCATTTCCTTTGCAGTATGTCATGATTGTAGATGCAGATTGTAAGAACTATCTCAGCTGGAGAGGAAGGTTTGAGTGTCCTCAGTATGTGGAGGACAGTTAAAACCAGGGGGATGGATGAGACGAGATCCCTACCCCTCTAGCAGGTGTAGAGAGGAGCAGGCTGGGACCAAACCTTTTGGAAAAGCAGGTTCTAAAAAGTAGAGAGAATGAGAGGAACTCATTTGCGATTAAGTCACAAAACAAACAAAACCCAAGCATCTTCTTTTTCTTTAACCTGAAGCCGAGTCTCACTAAATCATAAAGAAGGGATGTGAAGAGAGATGACTAATAAAGAAGATAAGATGATGTGAACCACGAGTTACATAAAAGAGAAAATGAAACAAGAATCAAGAAAGAAACTTCTGCCGGAGCCTTCGTTTGCTAATTAGAGGTCTGGCTTTCTGTATCTCCTCATCTGTTACGTGCTGCTGGTGAATTAATAGAGTTCTCAACAAAAGGACATTTAAGCCAACGTATGACACCTGCTTAAATTCTCAAGAAGCCATTAATTACACATTTTTAAGAAAATGAGCGATGACACAACTCCTCTAACTATGTAATTCGTATCTGGGATTCTTAATCATACGACTTTTCAGCTGCAAGACGGATCTTTTCTATTCATCTTCTCTGGTTCTGACCAATTAAACATTTTCTTTCATAATCATAACGTTTCATGTGCCAAATCTTCAAAAGAAAAGGAGCTTGTTAGCAATATACCGTTTCCTGTTGCTAATTTGTGCCGAATTAGAATTCTTAAAAGTATAATATATACATATAGGACATCATTAACACATTCAGGCTT